GGAGTGGTGGGGGTTCAGAACCACCTCATGGGAATGCACACTGGGGAGGGACAGACCCGTGCACAGTCAGGAGGAAAAGGTGATGAAAAAGACCAAATGTGTGAAAGGCCAAAGGCAGCTGTCCTGGAGGAAAAAAAATGGAAATTAAAGCAACACCTAACATAGGGGAAACCTTACAGAGAGCCCTCTGAATGCTGGACTCTCATCACACCTCTTGTGAGTCACTGGGAAAGGAGAGTTGTGCATTGGGAAGCCATTTTACAGTGTGTTCTCTGCTCTGGAGATTTGAGATGAAGAGCACTTTGTGCACGCCCTTGACTATTACATGTGGGCTTTGAGCCACTTCTCACCACTCAGGGTGGTTCTCTTGCAAGAGAAACTTATTCCACTGATAAGGCAGAAGGGTACTGTCAGTTTCTGTACTACAGAACTTTATTTATTTTAAACAAGCTCAAAGTCTTCTCAGTAAAACTACTGGGAAACTTGGTCACAATAATCCCATTGAACTCCAAGGTAACTCCCATTACTGGAAAATAATTCAGATACCAACTACAAGAACAAACCCACTGCAACATCACAAAGCACTTATGCAGAATAACACAGCATCAAATACAGCACTGACAGTCAAAATAGGTGCAGATGAGATCATTCACTTTGTGTCGTTGTAAAATTACTGCAAGCAAATGCAGCATTCCCTGACTAACCCTGCTGAGGTAACACGAGAAGTCCATTTGACTCAACCATGTGCACAAGCTCCCTTCTCTTTTGGAGGAAGCCTGCCTCACTTCAGACTCCTTATCCCTTTATCTCTCAGTGAAACACCGTGTTTAGGCACCTCAGTTAGTTATGACTGTTCCACCAACCTGCTCTGTATGGCCATGGTTGAGGTTTTTCTTAATCTCTCTCACTGGACGATGCAAGTTGTACAACATTGATCTTGTTTTTCAGGCAGGGAGGCATAGTTCATTTGCCTGACGATCTCAGCAAACAGTTCATCCACCATTGTTTTGCTCTTGGCTGACGTCTCCATGAAGGGACAGCCCCACTCCTGAGCCAGGGCTCTGCCTTCTGCAGACGGGACTTCCCTCTCCGACTCCAGATCCACTTTATTCCCCACCAGGATCAGAGGGACTTTCTCGTATCTCTTCACCCGGACAATCTGGTCCCTCATGGGCTTGATGTCCTGGTCAGACAATCCAGCTGGTTAGTACATGCAAGGGATCACATGGAACTGCTACACAACCACTGCAGAAACACATTTAATAACCCCCACGTGCAGCTCAACATTAAAAATACATCAGAAAGCTTTTTAAACTCATAGTCACGCAGATCTAGAATTCAGAGAAAAATTACTACCTACCACTAAGTTACTTCTTCTTTTCTATAAAAGCATGCACACTTTATAGACCTTTATGTGCCTTTATAAACAGAAAGTGACTGCTGTGCTCTCAGACAGTCGGTTCTGCCAGAGGAGGACACGGCATTGCTGCTCTGAAGGCTGGTTTCAGCTTTCTGAAGAAGTTGTCTCAAGTCTAAGGACCTGTAACCCTAGCAGGGGCATGCCATTACACAACCATTTAGGAAGTTTGTGCTTAGTTTACAGCTTGAGAAAGCCATCAATTTAAATAAAGCCTTCTCAGTCCTGGAATGCTTAGAATAATTCATTGTGAACACATTTAATCACATGTAAGTAACCAAATTAGATGTTGTAAAGAGATTTTATTACCTAGAGATGCATTTATTCAAGCCTGAGCCGACACGGGGCGTTTACACTTGAAAGTCTGAGTCAGCCTCCTCTGCCCCCTGAGTGTTTTAAGTTGCTATCAGTACTACAAATTCTTGCATAGTTCTGAGACAAAGCAATCCCAGCGTTTGAAGTTACCACTGTGTAAAGAACTGCAGAGAGGTTTACACCTACAGCCTTCAGAGCAAACACTACAGACAGACGGGAATAATTAAATATTAACAAGGTGGATTACTGCACATCCATTCCTCAAATAATGAGGGCTCACTGGAACCCAAAAATCAGTGAAAATGAGAGCAGAAGCATCCCAATGTCACTGCTGTTGTTTTCCAAAGATAAGCGTGTCTTCAGCTTGCACAGGGTTGTTTCGAGGCCTCTGCTAAGATAAGGTTTAGCCTTCAGCACAAGCAAACAGTGGGGGTGTGCAAGGTCTTGCCAAGCAGCTGGAACACACCCAGCTCAGCAGCCCAGCCAAGGCAGAGCTGCAAATCCCTGCGCTGCACGGAGTGCTGCTAAACTCACTTATTGCCCAAAAACAAAGCCCCGCTTCTACAGGCAGCTTAGACCAGCTACTAGCTGAGACATTTCCTTTTTTTTTTTTGAGAGTTTTAATAGTAGAAATCAAATCCAGATCCAGAAATGATCGTGTATAGCTAGCTCTCCTCTCCAGTACTCCACCTACGCTGTGAGAGCATCGAGCTCGTGCTGGACAGGAATATATTTTGGGGGCAGGGAGCGGAAAATAGCAGCTCACTTAACAAGTCACAACTGCAGAACAATGAGACTCTCTCTTCAAGAGCAACTGCAGAAACATGCCTTTTAGGAAGGAGAGGGGGTTGGAAGGGGAAGTCTCGTGTTTAATATCGAGTGATTTCTTCACAAAGGGGGATTGCCAAGAGATTTCTGTTGGGGAAGTGGGAGCTAGTCATTGTTCTCCAGCACTGCGTGGGATTTAACAATGGTGGCACCCTGATAAGTACCTGCAAAGCAAGCAGTTTTCCATCAGGAAGCAGGGCTGGTAAACGCGCTTTCAAGCTGGGCATTTACACTTTTGGCCCTTCGGAGATAAAGCGCTTTCCATGCACACGTGGCTACCCCTAAAACTTCCTCCTCGGCCCAGCGCCTTCCCCAGGGCAGGGCCGGCTCCAGCCGAGGACGGGACCCCGGGCGAGGTTACCTGGAAGGACTGCTGGTTGACCAGGCTGTAGACGAGGATGAATCCCTGCCCGTTCTTGATGTAGAGGTCGCGCATGGAGGCGAACTGCTCGGTGCCCGCCGTGTCCAGGATCTCCAGCACCGAGGGGGACGAGTCCACCTCGATCTCCTTGCGGTAGAAGTCCTCAATGGTGGGGTCGTACTTCTCGATGAAGGTCCCGGTGACGAACTGCACCGTCAGGGCGGACTTCCCCACCCCCCCGCTGCCCAGCACCACCACCTTGTACTCCCGCATCGGGCCCCGCTCGCCGCTCCCCGCCGGGCCCGGGCCTAGGGCAGGCGGCACCGCGGCCCTCGCATAGCCCCGGCCCGCTTCAGGTGAAGGGCGAGGCCCCACTGCTCCCGCGCAGTCTTGGGGGGAGCGAGACCCCCGTGAGCGCCCGGCGCGGCCCCGGCCCCGGCCCCGCTGTGCTCCTTCACCGCCGCGCTCCCGCCATCGCCTCCTCGGCCGCGGGACCCGCCCGCCAGGGCCACCCCCACCCGGAAGGGTTTTGCTGAGGCACCGGAGGCAGCCCCGCCTCGTCGTCACCGCTCACTTCCGGCGTGCTGCGTCACGGCCCGCCCGAGCTGCGCCCGGGGGGGCATGTTTGAGTGTGGCACCGAGGCACCGGCGCTGTGACGGGGGACAGGCTTGAGTGTGGCACCGAGGCACCCGCGCTGTGATGGGGGACAGGTTTGAGTGTGGCACCGAGGCACCCGCGCTGTGATGGGGGACAGGTTTGAGTGTGGCACCGAGGCACCCGCGCTGTGATGGGGGACAGGTTTGAGTATCGCACCGAGGCACTGTCCCTGCCCGCCCCCGCAACATGGAGGCCCCGACATGGCGGCTGCAGCCCCTCAGAGGGCGGCTCTGTGCGCGCGGCGTTGTCCCTCCACGAGCTCCTGCTCGGCACTCAATAATTTAAACAAACTTGAACAAACTCCATAACAAACTCCTCTCAGCCCCCTGCGGGAAGAGACACGCGGGGGAGGGGTCCTGGGCTGTGACACCGGCGGGTGTCCGGAGTGGGACACGGGCACCGTGGTTCTTCATCCCTGGCAGCCCGCTGGGCTGGTGACAAAGAGGGTCACCAAGTTGATCACAGGGATGGGGCACCTCTAATATAAGGAAAGGCTGGGAGAATTGGGATTGTTCAGCCTGGAGATGAGAAAGCTTCGGTGAAATTCCCTTCCAGTGCCTGAAGGGAATTTACAGGAAAGACAGAGAGGGACTGTTTACAAATACATGTAGTGACAGGAAAGGGGGAATGAATGGGCTGAGAGTGTAGGTTTAGATTCGACATTGGGAAGAAAATCTTTACTGCCAGGGTGGCGAAGCCCTAGCACAGGGTGTGCAGAGAAGCTGCCCCAACTCCTGGAGTGTCCAAGGCCATCCATGGCAGGGCTGAAACCAGATCACCTTTAAGGTCCTTCCCAACCCGAACCAGTCCGGGATTCTGTGAAAGGTGTTACCTCCACCCGCAAGATTCGTTCTGTGCCTTTACACTCCCACAGCTGCTCAAGCCTCACTGCCCGGCTTTTCCCCGTTACGTGAAAATCTCCCCAGAAGCGGCCGGAGATTCCCGGCTGGGCCGGGCCGGGCTGGGCTGGGCCGGGCCGGGCTGGGCTGGGCTGGGCTGGGCTGAGCTGGGCTGGGCAGTCCCACGGCAGTGCAGACAGCAGGTGTCAGCACGGCACCAGAGCCATCCCCGCCAGTGAAGCTCGCCCTTGTTAAGAGGGAGCAACTAAAAAGAATCAGCGTCTGTTTTCTCTCTGAAATAAAATCCCCCAGTCGCTTCAGACCCAACTCGATGATTCCCACCCACAGAGAAGGTCCCCTCCAATATAACCACATTTGTTTATGCTTTTCCCTGCGGACTGCAGAATTTCAGCAGGCACCACGTGTGGAGTGCTGGATTTGTCCCTTTCCCCTTTGCATCACCTGTTTGATTGCAAGTCCAGGGCAGACACGGCTGCCGCGTTTTGCTCCTCCTGGGCATCCAGCAGCCATAGAAAGGTTCCTGGCCAAGCCTAAAACCATCCAAAGGTACTGAGGAGGTGACTCTGCTTGTGGCCGTTTTCACAAACAGCTTTATTTTATTCACTTTCTTTCCATAAAGAGAACATGTCCATTATGGGAAAAGGTCAATGAGGACTTTTATCCTCCGGAACAAATCTTACTTAAGTTATGCCAAATTTGATTCACTCTTCTTTATTACATGTAAGTAAAAAACCCTCTCCTTCCTTCACTGTTGCCTCCAGAATTGCGTTGTCAAGTGAATTGCTGGCAGGAGGCAGACGTGCCTGGATGGAAGATTTTCATGTGGCTGGTGAATCAGCTCGAAAATGCAAAAAGGTGAGCATTAAAACAGGCTGCCTCCTACTTTAACCCCATTAGAAATCACGAGTTGTTGCAAAGTACCTTAATGCACTCAGGGTGCTCGGGATAAAGGAAAGCCACAGTTGCTCCCAGAGGAGCTTCCCATCTAATTTTAACCATGACACAATCGGCAACAGTGACAAATGGGGGGAGGGAGAAAAGGGGCAAGGGAGGATGAGGGTGACAATAATAAGATTACACGGTCACTTAGGTTCATTATGTGCACGTCTTTGTGGCACTGCTGGTCCATTATGTGTGTGATGGGTGGAGGAATGACTGCGGGAGAGGAAGGGGCAAAGAGCACAGTGGGAGAAAAGCCAAATATATTTTTGTGCAATTGACTTTAACCAGCAATGCCTCGCTCTTAGGCTGAGGGGAAGTCCAAGCAGGTGGACACAGGATTGGGAAAATGGATTTTTTTCCCTCCTCCAGTATTGATTTGGATTGCCAAGATTTATTTCCCAACTCACAGGACTTTATACCTGAGCATAGATGCCTATACCTGAAAAAAAGGGCCGATCTCAAAGTGCACCAGGTTGTTTGTTATCCTTAAGACGAGTCATTCCCTTCATTAAACAGTTTGCACAGCTCTTTCACCACCTTGTGCCCTACCACATATCCCAAGCCACAAAAATAGCTGGTGATGTCAAAGGTTTTGAAAGTCTGGAGGGGAAGAGCTGCTTCTGCCATAAATGGCCAAGCCCTGAGCCAGCCATGCAGGGCACCTCCTGCCAGCACCACCTCTGCCCCTCCCTCGCTATCACCATCCCCTCCCCTGAGGTGTGGCACATCCCGGGTCAAAGGCCTGATTTAATCTCTGTTGCCACTTTCTCCACAGCTCCTGCCAAGGAGAAAGGAGCAGGGCTCAGCCCTCGGTGCTGCCCCAGGAGGGTTTGCCCTTTCTCAGCAGAACAACCTTCCCAAATGAGCATCCGGGCAGGATTCGATTGCTGCCAGAGCAGCTCTGTGCTGTTGATGGACTCAGCTGCTCTATGCTGTGCCTGCAGCCAGCAACAATAAAGCAGGCTCTTATTAAATTAACCTGCTAAGACACAGATCCTACAGGGATGTTCAGGGAACAGACAGATGGCACAAGCAAGGGCCAGGAATAATTGCAATCCCTATCTCACCAATGTGAGAGATGAATCCTGCCCGGTGCTGTGCCCAGCGGGGAGGCGTAACTGGGAGCAGAACCCCGAGAGGGACAAAGGAGCCTCTCCAAGCCATGGATGGAGTGAGGAGTCTGGAACATGTCCTGTGGATGCCAGGATGGGGCTGCACCACCCCCCAGCAGCCAAAGGCTCCCCACTGCAGGCACAGTGTGGGTGCTGCACGGCCGCCACCACCTCTGGCTGTCCCCGCTGCCATCATCGATCTGCTCTGACTCCCTGTGTCTGCTCGAGCTGCAAACCAGGCTCTCCTCTGCCAGGAAGCCAGCAGCAGGCTGCTGAGCCAGGGCAGCAGGGATAGCCCAGATTTCACCTCAGTTACCATCTAGCTGGGGACGTCATTTGCGTAAATACATGCAAAACCAGCTTAAGGCCCAGTGTCCTTTCTTCTTTGCCTCTTCCAGAGGTTTTGCTAATCCACTTATTGTGCCTTATGCTGTTCAGCAGGGAAGCTGCAGGGTAGGACCAGCTCCTCAGGGCTCGAATGGCTGCTGGAGCACCGGGGGCTGCTCTCACATGCAGCTCATTCACGGTGGTCACGTTACACCAGTCACGTAACTGCAATGACAGCTTTTGATCTCAGCCCTGTCAGGTTCCAGTGAAATGTGTCTTAGGGGTTGAATGTGTCCACCTGGCCCAGACTCCTAATTCTGGGGCTGTTTCAGAACCTGCAGAGATGCTTTTCTTTTTTGCCAGCTTTTCCTGCCAATATAGAGATGACTCAGAGGCAAATCCTGAGGACCTTTCTCAGAAATTTCTGATTTTCTGCCACCCCTCAGCTTTTAGCCATTACTTTAGTTGCAACAAAAGGCATGATGGTGCTTCAAAAAAGGTAAAGGACATTTTCCAAAGCAATTACCAATTCTGAAGCAGGAGTAGGGCTGCACTGAAATATAATTGATACAACAAGGAGACTGTTGGGATTTCTGGGAGAAGCATCTCTCTCTGGCTCACAGACATGGTACCAGATCACCAGCCATTTAGAAGAGCTTGGCCAGGAGATGATCAGCACCACAGGCAGCCACACTCAGTGCCTGCAACCCCTCAGCTCCCCACCAGCCCTCTCTCCTCTGATGCTGCACCTCCTGCCCGCAGGATCAGCATCTCTGGGTCTCTGGGTGGTGATGAGTCACTGCTCCACGTGAGCAGGCCGTGCTGGTGAAGCCAGCAATGTGCTTTCACGGGTCATTCCTCTTCCTATTTTCTCCAGACGTCGAGCTGAGCTCTCTCCTCGTTGCCCTTCACAGTCCAAGCTGCTGTAATCCTTTCTGCAGTGCCTGGAAGCGCCTCCAGCTTTTGCTCTCCGGGTCTGTTGGGCTCACACCGAGCTGCAGCTCCGAGGCTCTCAGAGTGGCCTGTCCTGCACACACCCAACATGATGCCAGCACAGCACCCTCTCCTTGGGTACCACCTTCCACAAATTTCTGCAAAGCTGAGGGGACGGGGCTGTCCTCAGTTTTGCCTTGGTTAAATCATCAACACATGGGACAGCCTCTTCAGAGGCTGTATATACATACATACATACATGCATATATATATATATGTTTTAAAGTTTCTAGCCAACAGTAGAGTAAAACTGAAAATACAGCTCCTTAAAGCTAAAAAAGGCAACAGTGAATACATAAATCAAACCTGTTGCTTTAAACTCCAAATGAAAAGAAAGGAGGGGGAAGGTAAATACCCAGACAAGATATATTTTTAAGATTTGTAAGTATAAAGCAATTTTAAACTGATGTCTTACAGAAAGGTTTCCATTTGCTTTTAGAATTCCACGTGTTTTCCTTTTTTTATCATATTCCTGCAGCATTTGAAATTCAAATGCTACAGAAATGTGTAACCTTGCTCATGAAATTTGCTGGCCAAATGAAGCAGACAACAATTAATTAGAGTGAAACCTCCTGCTTTACTCCCATTGGTGAGAACAAGAGAGAAGAAAATGTAAAATTCAACCCAAATGGGGTATTGAAAAAAATACTTTAATATGATGTTGATCTTAATAAGCAAAACCATTTCTTTCCTCCCTCCTTTTTTAGTAAATTGCTTTTCACTTGACAATTTCCTCACAGAGAAGTGACAAGTATTATTCCGAGTCGTTAATTCCTGCATGCAGGCTCTGAGCTCATTAAAGCGTGCCGGGTCCCCGGGCGGGCACTGCCAGGTTGTGCGGTGACCTGAGACCAGAACCCCCCTGCCTCGTGCTGTCCCCAGCCCTGAACAGGCAGTGTCCCTGAGACAGCCGAGCACCTCGGCCTCGTGGCTCCTCAGTGCCTTGGGTGGGTGACACGGGGACATTTCTGTAGGAATACTGGTGGCCCGTTCCTTATTGTGCATGGGATGCACAATATCTGAGTTCTGGCAGCACTCATGGCATGTGGGAGATTCTTCCCAGGTGGGCAGTGCCACTGTCACCAAATGCTACAGGGTGGCACATCCCACTTGATTTAGAGTCACGGAATATCAAATCAGAATATCACAGGCCATCTCCTTGGCATGGCCCTGTTTCCTATGCTAAGGACTCTCCCTTTCCCTTCCAGCTCTTTTCCCCAGCCACACAAACACATCAGCAGAGAGTCCCCATGCCTGGCACATGTCCCCAAATGGCCACCCTGCACATCTTGGATGAGATGCCTCCAGAGATCTGCCCTGAGGCCAGAGGGAAAGGATTTCCATGGCAGTGCAGTGGCAGAGCCATGGGCAGTGGGAACCAGGCAGAGCTTTCCCCCCAGGCTGCCTTTGCCAGCAGCCAACAAACCATCTGCAGGGCAGGAGCACAGGGAGCTCAGTATGAGACACTTGGTCAGCTTCCCTGTCAAGGGAGGCCAATGGGACAAAGCTGTGTGTCCTCCACACCAGAGCCTGTCAGCTCTCCTGGAAAGAGCACCTGGCTGCTTGGAGACAATCCAGACACCAGCAAGGGTCTTCATAACACCCTGGAGATCTGCAGCCTGGATGACATGTGGCATCCATCATCATCATCATCATCCAAGGGAGCCAAACCAGCAGATCTCAGAGGCTGACTGCTCCAGGAGCCTGGGAACCAAGGGGTTAAAGTGCTTGGCCAGGGAAAGTCCTGGGAGGAGAAAAGCACCGAAACTGCTTAATTAGAGTATTCAAATTAGATGGGGTTGCAAAGCAGTTAATTTCTTGACTTGAAAAAAACCAAAATTAATATTTGCCAGCCAGGATCAGAAGCAGTGGGAGCCATTGACAGCTTTGCTGGGGCTCCTCATGCTGGGGAGGACTCCAGAGGTCTCTGCCATAATTACCTGCAGTCTTTAGTATTTTGTTCTGCCGTTTATGAACTTGCTTGAGCATTTTGTAGTTAAAAGCTGGCGATCCAAACCCCAGCTGTATTTCTGCTTAAAGAAGTGAAGGGCTGCTGCCTGGCATAGCAGTGTGACACTTTGGTGTTTCAAAGTTTCCTAATTTGCACAGTCTGAAGAGAATCAAACCAGTGGCTGGTGGAAGCAAACTGTGGCTCTGCCAGGCTGGTGCTCCCTCCCAGCCTCCAGGACCAGGCAGGAACCTCCCATCCCTGCAGAGATGGACCAACAAACAGCCCTACATGGGCCAAGTCAGCACTTGGGGTGCAATCACACAGAGGGCTCACTGCCTCACTGATCCATTGCCTCACTGATCCACAGCCATGGACACCTCACTGTCAGCAGCCCCTGAGCAAGTCCAGCCATGCCAGTGCCAGGGAGAGGATGCTCTTCCCTCTGCCTTGTGCCACAGCTCCAGTGTGGAAATGTGGACTTGGGATGCTGTGGGGACAGCGCTCGGACTCATCCCTTGGTTAGTCCTTGTCTGTGGGCTGACAGCTTTCCTTGCTCTGGTCCATCTGCCTCACCCCTCAGGCTTTTCTCATCTGTTTTTTGCTGGTCTAATCTTTTCCCTAATATTTAATCCCATGTCAAATTCTTTCCCATCCTCTTAAAATTCTAAAATTCTCTAAATTTTTTTTCCTTATCTTGTCTGCATAATTGAGAACCATCTTGAATCCCTCTGTGTTCAGACTTCATACCTTGTGCTGCCACGATGTTCCAATCACTTAAACATGAGATCTTTGCATATTATTACTGTGGAGACAAATTTTTGCATGTTCCCTGGAAAGAAAGTCATCCTCCATTAGCAAGTGGTGAATGAGAGGGGATGTCACAGCAGGAGCAGAGGCAGCAGTGGAGAGTCCCACCCTGCACCGTGCCTCAGAGTGATACTGATGTCTGAGACAAGCTGGGATTTCTTTCCCAGCAATATCTTTGCTCTTCAATGGCTGTGAGTGAAAGGCTTTGACACCTCCCTCAGCAGAGCACCAGGTGAGGACTGGCACACGTTCCCTGCCACCCTCCCTCTGGCAATGCAGCTGCCACTGCCCCTGGTGCCACCCACCAAGTCTCAGCACAATGGGAAGGAAAGGAAGAAAGCCACTTCCCCCTGCACAGGCACATTGCACCAAGAGCAGAGAAAATTGATCTCTGGCTGCTGAGCCTCTCTAGCACTTTGTGTTGCTGAAAGGAATAATCAAGCCTGGCCCCGGAGAAGGCAAAGACAGGAAGGAAATGAAAGCTTTCCCTGTCTGATGATTTCTCTCTGGGGTTGGGGCCCTCCCTGGGGACCCCAGTGGTGGTTTTGGGAGAGGCTTTTGCTCTGGGGCCTGGTTCAGCAGCAGATCCACAACAATCCCACAAAATTTTGCTTTTCCTGCTCACGCAGCAGCTCAGAGGGAAAGGGGAAGAGGCTGCCAGGGCTCCCAGCTGAGCCCCCAACAAGGGGGCGGCTGCCACATGCACCGACACTGGGCTCGCCCAGGGATGTCACTTGAGCCACAGCACAACTTCTCTCCTGTCTTTGTGAGCAGCCATGGGCTGATGC